TGAACCCGGCTCTTCTGCAAGAACAGTCAGTGTTCTTAACCACTGAGCCATCTCTCCAGCTTCTGAAATTTTAATTTAATGCTAAATTATCTGAGATTACACTTCTTCTATTGATATGTGGATGATACCTAAGATTCTGTAATTTACTTTCTAAACAGGAATAATTCAAATGGTGATCAAAACAGTTCACACATGAGAACCTTTAGGAACTGTTCCAAAAACTTCACATGGGTATTTTTTTCCTTATAAAGATCAATTATTCCTAATCTGAAAATCTTCGGTTTAAAATCTTCCAAACTCTGAAACTTCTTGAGTGCTGACATGAAGTTGCAAAGTGGAAAAATCCTACACCCTGAAACTATGTTTCATGCACCTATATGAAAAACATATAAAATGATCTATAGGCTATGTGAACAAGGTATACGCTAATGAATTTTGTGTTTAGATATGCTATATGCACATATTCCAAGATTAAAAAAAACCCTGAAACCCAAGATATTTCTGGTTCCAATACTACATTGAAAGGACATATATCTATATATCTATATATATATTTATATAGTTATGTGTACAGTTGCATATACTACAAATATTTATTCTATACTTTCATGTCTAACAGCTTTACTTACAATGGGAGTGATAGGAGGAGGGGGAAAAGTAAGAAAAAAATTGGGACCTTCTCAGTAACTGAAAGGAGCTCAAACTAGCTGGATTGAAGAATGAGGTATGGGAAGTTGTATGATTGATCAAAAGAAGGAGAGAGAGGAAATAGGAGAGAGAAGGGAGAGAGTGAGTGGAGAGCGAGAAGAGGGAGAGCAAGAGTGAGAGTTAGTGTAAGTGAGCAGGTAGGGGTATGAAGAGGTTTCTGGCATGGACAAATGGCCAGAGAAAGGTACAGTTCACTGAGTTGTGTAAGAAGAAGTTTTCAGAGAGAAGACACTGATGGGGAAAGAACCATGAAGTCTAAGGTGAAACAGGAAGGTGGCAGGAAAAGAAGATACTGATAGGGAAAGAGAAGGGAGGAGCTGAAGAACATCTCTATGATGTTAAATGATCGGTATATCAATAGTAAAACCAGAATTAAAAGACTTAGAGATGTCAGTGTATTAGACGTTAGAATTTGTGATTTCAGAGAATGGATAAGTTTGGGAGAATCTATCTAAGGTAGAAGAAGAAAGGTATTTATTAGGGAAACTTTAATAAGATCACACTACTTTGAAAAAGATAATTCCTGCAGCCACGTGTAGGGTACGTGGCAGTGAGGAGAGGCCCAACTAAAGCAGCTGAGAGTCTTATTTGTAAAACCAGGAACCAAAGATTTGAATAATAGATCTCAATATACAGATAAATAAGCAAAAACTTTGACATTAATTCTCAAAAGAAATACAAATAAAAATAACCCAAATGTGTTTATCAGGTGACACATCTACAACAGAACCTCATGGAACATATTAGGAAAAGGGGTAGAGAGAATACTAATGCATCTCTCAACTCTCATCAACGAAGTTCCCTCATGCAGCAGAGGTCCATAAACACAAAAGGACACAGATGACCAAAGCGTAGAGAATAAGTCTACAGAGTGTGAGTCCTTGGACAGGTCTCCTCTGTTAAACTTCACCTACCCAGGGCTCAGGGACCATTGTGGAAGTGGGTGGTGGTGGTGAAAAGATGGTAAGAGTCAGGGAGGAGGTGTTTGATCATATCAAAATAAAGTCTTACAGGCTCCTGGGACCTTGTTTGCATGAACCTACAGCAATAGTGTCAACATGCACAAGACCCATGCAAACCCAAGCAGCAAAAACCTAGCATAGAACTGTGGAAATGGGCAGCAGGCCCCAATCTAAGCCAAAGAACTATTGGCAGCTGATTACTGCTGGGTGAGGAACAGCTGATCTTAAAGGCAGGGACTCCAGATAGGGTGACTAGATCTCAGTGGATGAACTTACACTGAGGGATGTTTGGGGACACTAACTTGACTTGATAGGCCTTAACATCAATGACAGGATGCATGAATTCCAGCTGGGGGTGGGCCATAGGAGGGTGCCAATGCAGAGGAGGTGTTAAGATAATTAAGATATTCCATATGAAATACACACAAATTCAATAAAAATTTAAACAATCAAACTTATTCTAAAGAAAAAGGGTACATTATGACCACATTGCCATTTTTAAATTTTGGCTGCTGCAATTTGGATTAAGTTTTAGCAGAAATTATATTTCTGTTGAAGACGGTGCTTTAAACAACCTTGTGGGGTATGGGCTTTAGACCATCCCTGAGTTCCCACGGGCCCACAGTCCAGCTTGTAGAGCAGCCAAGCTGTTCAAGAGTATCAAATATCTATTAATCTACTAATATTTCATCACACAAGCAGACTTAGTTCACATGTGTTTCCATCAGCTCCAAAACCAGCACACTACACAATTCCAACATGGAATTGTGTACTGGTAGGTTATTTTCATTTTAATAATAAGTTTTCTATGGAAGAGTCATTCATCTAGCCCATTGTTTTCCAATTTGGGTCTTCTGAAGAGAAATGGCACAGCTTGGCTCTACGAGAACTGCCAAAATTCCATCAACATGAAACAATTCCTGTGTAGTTCACTTCCCACAAAACAAACACCATTCGGCTTTTCTCTCTGCCCTATGTTCAATAGGAAACCCACAACCAATTCCAGGATCCTCATAGGTGGTCATGATGGAAGCAAAACCTGTAATCTTGTTTGGGCTTATAATGTCTTCATAGAATATTAATTTATCTATGTCTTCCATCTGTCTATCTATCTATCTATCTATCTATCTATCTATCTATACAGTTTAAGGCTTTCTTCCTGCCCTTGCCCTTCCTCTTTCCTAAACTTTTGTTGTTGTTGTTGTTTATCTTTTTGAAACAGGGTCTCCCTGTAACCCCAGCTGGCCTGGAACTCGCTACATAGACCAGGCTGGCTTTGAACTCACAGAGATCTGCCTGCCTTTGCCTCCCGAGTGCTGGGATTACAGGTGTGCACCACCCTGCCCGGCTAGTTATTTCTTTTTAATGTATACAACTGTTAAGTGAAATACAGAACAACAGTGAAATTCAAATCTCATATAAATAATGTTAGTGTAGCCTGGTGTGGTGGTGCACGCCTTTAGTCCTAGCACTCAGGAGGCAGAGTCAGGTGAATCTCTGTGAGTTCAAGGCCAGCCTGGTCTACATAGTGGATTCCAGGACAGCTGGGGCTTCAGGGAGACCCTGTTTCAAAAAGACCACCACCATCACCACCAACAACAAAAAGTTAGTCTATTTCCTATATATTTTATCAGATATGCTTACAATATAATTCTTGTTTATATAAATTTCAATTATAATATTGTGTTTATCCAAAACCAAATACTACTGACAGTGTTTTGATTGTAGAAATCTTTGTATTTCTTGTAGTGTGTTTGTGTGTATGGTTGTGCATATGCCATAGTGCACATGTGGAGGTCAGAGGACAACTTGTGGAAATCAGTTTTTTCCGTCCATTATCTGCGTTCCAGGGATCAAATAGATGTCATCAGGCTTGATGGCAAGTGCCCTGAGCTGTCTCACCAGGCCAGTTGTAGAGATCTTTAATAGCACTTTGAATAATGCCTTCTTTTTAGCTAATAATAGTGCCTATATAGTGAGATAGTCTCACTTTGTAACGCAGTCTGGCCTGGAGCTCACAATGTAGCTCAGCCTTGTCTCAAACTTGTGGCAATCCTCCTGCCTTAGCCTCTGAAGTGCTGGGATTACAGATGTGAGGCACAATGCCTGTATTATGGCATATTCATACATGCATGTCATCCTACTTGGCTCATATCACCCTACATTACCTTCTTGTGTTCCCTCTTCCCCTTCTTACTGGCTTCATTCCTCCCCCAAATAATAGTACCCTTCTGCTTTCATGTTCTCTCTCTCTCTCTCTCTCTCTCTCTCTCTCTCTCTCTCTCCCACACACACACATACACACACTTTAAGTGCAGATTCCACATATGAGAGAAAACACGTAATGTCACTTCTTCTGAATATGCCCTGTTTTGCTACCAATCTCCACTTACATCTATTTTCCTGCAAATGACATAATTTCATTCTTTTTTTATTGCTGAATAATACTATATTGTGTGTGTATATCCTGTGTTTTCTTTTATTTTTATTAGTATTTTCATTTAACATGCACAATACTGGGTTTCATCGTGACTTCTTCATACATACCTTTATCCACTCATCTGTTTATGAACATCTAGGATGAGTCCATAGTTTGGTTATTGTGAGTAGGACTAATACTGTCAACAGTGCAATTATCTCTGCAGTATGCTGACTTAGATTCTTTTGTTTATAGCTGGATCATATGGAGGTCTATTTTAAGCTTTTTTGAGGCCCCTCGATACTCATTTCTGTAATGTCTCTACTCATTTATATTCTTACTAGTAGTGTATGAAGATTACTTTTGCCCTGTGTCCTCATCAGCATTTGTTGTTTATTTTCTTTTTCTTTTTTCATTCATTTTTTTGTATCTTTTTGAGACTGGGTTTCCCTGCAGTCTCAGTACAGCACTTTAGATGGGATATAGCTTCAAGCTTGCATCATCGTGCTTCCCACAAGATGCTTGCAATATTTATGATGCCTGTTAGCTCTTGTGGGCACTTCATTTTGATACTTGATGAAGGTAAAATCAAGGGCAAATGAACCATTGTCTCTCTATGGAAGATACTTCCCAACCACATGTGACTAACCTGTGGTCTGCTTTAAATTTTCTTTTGAAATACCCTTCTACCATTTAACACAGAAAACAAAGAATTTAACGTTAATTCAATAGAAATATTAAACTAAAATTAGTATCATATCACAAAGCCCAAATGATCTAATTGCTTCATATCAACTATTTGTATCTCTGTTTGTTAATATGAAAAATCAAAAGCTAAATGCTTTGTAGTTCTCTGTTACTGTAGCTGTATGAATTTGATCACTTCTAGGCTAAATGCAGACATAAGAAAATGGAATGTGTTTGTTTTGTTGGGGATGTTGTTGTTGATAGGACATTTCCTTCTTCACAGAGAGTAGTCTTCGAATAAATGCTTTCTATAGACTTGACCTTGATGTGAGTCACAACTGTTTTCCGTCACTGCTGAACTTTGTCTCCTTGAGAAGACTGTGCAAAGAAAGCATACATCTTAAAGGATGCAGCAAATATATCCAATGTCTCAGTTTGGTCATAGTAAAATTCTTATTTTCTTTATAGGTCAAAATAAATAATGATTTTAATTATGAATTTTACAACAGTAGCTGGTCTTATGTCAAGCACACAACAACAGGGCATACATCGTCTAGTTCAAGGCATTTCTTTTTTAGCTCTTCATCATCAAATCAGCACCACTATACTTCAAATACCGAAAAAAACTACATGAAAAAGGTTAGTATGAAACATCAGCTGATTCCTCTCCCCTCCCCCGCCCGATTTTAAACTTGTTTTGAGTGTTGCTAACATTAAGCAAGTGCATTTACTCACAGGACTAACTTTCTGATTTATATTAAAACAAAAATATATCCTTTAAGAGACAATACATTTCTTCCAAGATTTGTTAATTCTCTTTGACAATGTATTTATTTATATTTTGTTTTCTCATTAAAGTATTTGACCTTTTTTGAAAAACGATGTATATTTATGAACATGTTCTCATATATCCCCAGTCTGGCCTTGGATTTGATATGTAGCTGAGGCTGACTTTGAAAGGCTGTGATTCTCTTACTTCTACTTTCTAAGGTCTGGGATTCTAAGTGTGCACTACATAAGAAAAATTATACTGAAATCTTCTATCTTAAATTGTTTTGATGTAAGAAACACCTCTCACTTCAAAGGAGATAAAAGGCAGTTGTTTCTGGAGATAAATATGAATGATCATGGCCCAGGAACAGTTACCCCAAATGTCATGTTCCAACATGGTAACAGTTTCATGAAGTTTTTATAGAAGCAGGAAAAAGGAAGTAATAAATCAAGACAGTTTTCTCTCTATTATTTATTATTTTTATTTTATGTGCAAAAAAAGTATTGCCTGCATGTATGTAAGTGCACCCATGTTGTGCAATGCCCTCGGAGGTCAGAAGAAGGTGTTGGATTCCCTGGAGCTGGAGTTAAGATGGTCCTTAGCTACCATGTGGGTACTGGGAACCTGAACCCAGGTCCTCTGCAAGAGCAGCTAGTGCTTGTTACTGCTGATCCATCTCTCCAGCCCAAGATACTTTTCAAGTAAACTGATGTAAACATCAAGTGGGCAGGTTATAGGAGAGTAGGAAATCTCTGTAATAGGTCTCAGATGCTATCTGATGACAATCATAGCCTTTTGGCGGTGGAAGCTAGGGAGCCGCTAAGTTAATATATTCTAAAAGTTTTCACTCCACAACCACAAGGATGTTAAGTCAGACAGAGAGGTGAGCAAGAAATGTCTATTAAGGAGTTAAAGCACTCTGAGGTAAGTTGTAATTGAGCCCTGGACTTGCAACATTCCAACCTCTTCTCAATTATTGAAGTTGCAATAAGTTAATCATCCTTGTAGATGATTCAATATAAAGTATGACTTCTTTCCAGGAACTTTTGTTCACAATTGTCCTAATTTTTTTTATTATGATTACGGATGTTGCTGCCTTAAGTGTTATATATAACAAAAACTATACCATCAATGCTCATGCACACTTCCTCAATGTTAATGCTAGCATCTTTTGAAGCAAGATGCGAAATGAAAAGATTTTTAAAAAACATCTGATTATTTTGAGATTAAAAACAGTGTTTATCTGGGGAATTTAAGACCTTTAAAAATTCTTTTTGTTTTGGAGTACCAGAACTTTCATGTGGGAAAACTTGAACTCTTGAGATGAATTGCAACTAAATAATCCTTTTTTTTTCTTTTTGAGACAAGATTTTTTCTATAACCTGGTTTTGCCTTGAATTCCTGGTGGTCCTCCTGGCATGTGCCTCCTGATTATCCTTCTGGGATTATGAGTGTGCATCACTATGCCAAACTTTCTCATTCTTTTCCCTTCCTCCTTCTCCTCCTCCTCCTCCTCCACCTCCTTTCTTCTCCTCCTCCTCCTCCTCCTCCTCCTCCTCCTTTCTTCTTTTGTTTGAATCTCATGTGTAGCACAGTCTGATTCTGAACTCCTGATCCTCCTGCCTCTGGAATTCTGGGTTTATAGGCAAGCATTGTTATGCCTGGTTGATTTATAAAGTTAGTAATTTGTTCAATCACAAAAAGAGGCATAAGAAACACTAATTTTATTTGTTTTATGACTAAGAAGTTGATTGTGAGAATATGAATTAAGATGTTTATCACCTGTATATTAAATTGTTCACAATGTAGGGATTTAGCACAATATTAGTTTTGAATATTATTAAAAGCTGACTAGAAAAGGTTTGAAAGACCTCATTAAAAATGTAGTTTAACTTGCAAATAAATATATTCTCCTTGCCTATAAACATATGGTCAAGATGTAACCCAAGGATTGATTACTTTGTGTATATATTTGTAAGTTTGTTTAGAAGGTAATAGAGTCAAGTGACATTTTCTAGTTGAGGTGGGCTCAAGGGCTTCAAGAGCCCTGGATAAAAGAAATCATCCTTGTATTGCTCAGATTTTTCTCATCTGGGACCCCAGAATTCTTCATGAGGGTTGGGTCCAAAGGAGACTTTGTCATACCTCAAAAAAAAAAAAAATCAGTCTGGGTGATGGGAAGTGACAGTCGAGACATTGAATAGGGAACTGAGACTATTTTTTGATCTTTTAATCTTCCACCTAACACTCCTTTTATTCTTTTCTTCCCCCATAGAGTTATAAGTTGTTGGTTGTTCAGAACAGTGTTGAAGTAGCTCAGTTCATTAATAACAATCCTGAGTTCTTACAACTTGCTGAGCCTTTCTGGAAGGAACTCTCCCATCTTCCCTCTCTGTATGACTACAGTGCCTACCGAAGACTAATTGACCAGTATGGGACACATTATCTGCAGTCTGGGTCATTAGGAGGAGAATACAGAGTTCTGTTTTACGTGGATTCAGGAAATACCAAACACAGTGGTACAGTATTAACCAATGATATCTAAAAGCACTTAGGAATTTTAATGGGGGAATACATGTGGTTAATTTAAACTTTTAAGCTTTAAAGTCTGATAGATTTAAATTACAAAGGAGTCCAAAATTGCAAGAATCTATTATACTCTACTTAAATTCTTACATGATTTAAAAAATGTCTGCCTACTCTTTTGAATAATACCTTGAGTTAAACCATTATCATTATCAGCTATCTCCAGAGGATGTTAGATTTTAATAAAACCTTATAATCTTCCCCGTTTCACAGATTAAAAAGTGTTTCTTTTTTAACGTAACATTTTAAGTTAGCATACAAAGTAATGGGTTTCATTATGTACTTTCATACACGTTTTGTTCTTAGTTATCTCTCTCCACTACCTTTTTTCTGCCCCCTGCCCCCATCTTGCTGGGCACTGTAGTCCTACGGTTGCTTTATGTCACATAAATTCACATATGTTCCATCACTTCCATAAGATCATCTCCTCTCCTCTCATTACACACACACACACACACACACTCACTCACTCACCCAATTTAAATTTAAGCCTAGGTTCCACATTTGAGAGAAAACAGCTACTATTTCTTTCTGATCTGGCTTATTTCATTTAACAATAATTTCTAGCTTCTTCCATTTTTTTTTTCCGAAAGGCTGTGATTTCACTCATTTTTCTTTATGGGTGAATAAAATTCCATTGTGCTTATGTGCATCTTCTTTACCCATTTATCTGTTGGTGGATATCTAGACTGGTTCCATTATCTTTTTTGTGATGAATAGTGTCATAAGAAGCATGTATGTGCATGTGTCTCTGTGATATGTTGATTTGGAGTCTTTCAGCACATGTGTAGGAGTGACATAGCTACATACGATAGCTCTATTTTTAGCTTTTTAGAAACCTCCCTTCTGAATTCCACTGGGCTGTACCAGTTTACATTCCCAGCAGCAGTGAATAGGGTTCTTTTTCCCTCAAATGCTCACCAACATTTGTTGTCAAGATTAAACAATGTTTCATAAGGAAAACTAAATGAGTTGTTTGCTGATAACCTGTCATTTTGTTGTTTTGTTTGTAGAACTAAAAATCTAACCTTAGGACTCTCATGTATACTAAACAAGTACTCTGCTTTTTATTTTTATCAGGGTCACATTGCACAGGCTGGCCTTGAACTCACTCTAGCCCAGATGGGCCTTGATCTTGTGACCCTCCTTCCTCAGCTGCCTCAGTATCTACAGGTACAAGCCTGTGCTACCAGGACCTGCTGAAAATTCAAACTGTTTTAAGGCAGTATTCTGCTTACAGTTGTTCTTTATCATTCACAATTCCTTAAAAAAGTCTGCCCTGAATATACTCATTTTTTTGGATGCCTTCCTCAGGACAGGTGAGTCACACAGATACTTTGGGGAAAAGGTAGAGATTCAGCATTATGAGGAGACTCTTCCAAGGTTGCATAGACAGTAAGGAGGAGATTTGAGCCCAGACTTAACTGTTTTCTCAATCAGCTTAGCTTTCCCTCATGCCACTAAAAATGCCTAATTTTTGTTAGAATCAGAAAATGCCACCGAATTCATGCTTTGGAAATTCCAGCTTGGATTCTTTACAGAGAACTTTTGATCTGTCTATCTAATATTCTGAGACAAACTTTCTCCATCCTAATCTGTACAGATGCCCACATTTCACTAATTCCGTCATCTCCTCAGAGTCTTTCTTGGAGATGATAAGACTCCTGAGATTCACAGCAGAACGTGGCCTTTTCCTTATGTATTAACTATGATATTTTCCTGTGTTTCCATCGGACACTTTCAGTTTTCTACCAGATAAATTTGAATAGAATTTGAACTTTTTTAGTATCATAGGTTGAAAATAAAATGAGTGTATAAACTTATTTATTTTTGTAGCAGACAAAGGCATTTCCTTAAAAAATCAGTCTAGGGGCTGGAGACATAGCTCAGAGGTTGAGAATATTGGCTGCTCTAGCAGAAGACCTAGGTTTGGTTCCCCGCAGCTAACGACCATCCTTAACTCCAGTTCCAGGGGAATCTGACATCCTCTTCTGATTTCCATAGGCATTGTGTGCACATGATGCTCTTGTATACATGCATGCAGAACACTCATAACACATAAAATAAAAGAGTAAAAATTTGAAAAAAATCAGTCTGGCAAATGGCTTGATCTTAACTCAGTTTCACTTCTAAATTCCTATTTTTATAACATTAAATGAAAAATAATAATACATTGAGATTCCATCTCACTCTAGTCATATGGCAATCATTAAGAAAACATGTAAGTGCCAGTGAGGGCACAGAGAGAAGGGAATCCTTTCTTGTGCATTGATGATAGGAATATAAAGTTTTCTCCACTACTGTAGAAACCAGTATGGTAGTTCCTCAAAAACCTAAAAATAGATTTACTATGTGATCCAGCTATGCCACTCCTGCATGTTTACTTAAAGGACTCTAAATAAACATATTGTAGGATACTTGAACGTCAGTGTTTATACAGCACTATTCATAAGAGTTAAGGTGTAGGTGATTGTTAACAGAGGAATGGATAAAGAATATGTGGCATATGTACACACTGGAATTTTAATCAACATAAAAACAATATTTTTCCATTTGCAAGAAAATGGATGCAATTGAACATTATTATATTGTGGATTAAGTCAGACTCTAAAAGGCAAACATCACGTTTTCTGTTTTATGGATCCTAGATTTTATATAGATCTGTAAAATAATCTATGTATATGTGGCATGAAAGCTGAAGTGAAACCATCTAGGAGATTGAAGGGGACTGATGGGGGGAGAAAGGTGAGGACAGGAGGGTATCAGGGGCAAATGTGGTAAAGGACATCATATGCTGTATGGCAATGCCCTTATGTAGCCCAGTCATATGTGCAGAAAATATATGGCAATTTAAAAAAGCAGAGGTTTATATGTTTTTAAACATCTATTTATTTTGTGGATATGTATGTTAAGGGGTCATGTATGCTATAGTGCATGAGTGGGGGTCAGAGGACAATTTGTGGGAGTCAGTTTTCTCCAACATGAGAGTCCTGGGGATTGAACTCAGGTCATCAGGCTTAGTGGCAAATGTCTTTACTTACTGAGCCATCTTCTAGTCCAGAGGATTTTTAAAAAACTTACTGAATTTGTAAAATTTATTTTTTGAGTAATAATTTTACTCCTGAGCAGTATATGTCGATCTTAAAATTCTAATTAAAATTTAATAAAAACTTCTGGGACATAGTTTATGTCCCTAATTATTCCTAAGAGATATTGAGACCCTAATTTATCTAGTAAAATTATATGAAAAAACATATTCACACTTAATTTTTTTAGGACTGAGGATTGAGCCCAGGGCCTTGTACATGCTAAACATAATCAGTAACACTGAGCTATACCACCAAGCCATATGTTGCTTTTTTTTCCACCCTATTAAAAAAAAAACCTGTAAAGAACCATTTGGTAATGAGTAGAAATTGCTATATTCTAAGGTTATGTGCCACAGGAGGAGGTGTTAATGTTGTGGGTTTCCTGGATCAGAATGGATGGAATCTATTGCTTTCGATTGCAGAGAATGAGCAAGGTCAGCAGAAGGACAAGCAAGCAGTTTATTGAGAAGCAGAGAAACAGCACCCTGTGGCTGGAGAGGACACAAAAATGAATTGTCAAATAGGATTTTTGAGGAGGGCTTTTTATATCCTAGAATGGGCCCATTTGGTCCTACCTGCAAGTAAGTTAGGTATCAGATGGAACCAGTTGGTCAATTTGAGTGTATGTAGGGAATTTTGATTGGTCAGTGGGTCAAATGAAGCTATTTAGGCTCAGGGCTGGAGAGATAGCTTAACAGTTAAGAGCACTGGCTGCTCTTGCAGAGGACCCGGGTTTGATTTTCAGCATCCACATGGCTGCTGACAACTCTCTGTAACTCTAGTTCCAGGGAATCTAACCCCCTCTTCTGACCTCTGTGGATATTGCATGACATGGATATACTTACATGCAGACAAAACATTCATACACATAAAATAAAAAATAATAAATAAAATATTAAAGAAAAGAAGTATGCAGGCTCTGGAAAGTCTACTGGTGGGGAGAAATGTCACCAAGAAGGTCCAATAGGGAGGAAGAACCAGGAAGCAAAAACAATAAAGTCTGCTGGTTAGCAGCATCTTGATGAGCCCAAGGGCTTTTGGAGTTGAAAACCTTGATACTATTGGAGTTGCTTATTGGTTCCACCATGATATAGGGACATTTTGTTTTCCTTTAGCCTGAAACTCTAACTGCTTACAAAGAGGGGTTGCCTTGCTTCTAATGCCTATCATTAGGAATCAGATATTGTTGGAAAGGCTAAGTTAGTGGAGTGAGGAGTTTAGAGATTAATCAGCATGGAATAATAACCCAGCTTCTCAGAATCTCCAGAAAGTGAGTAAAAAGTCACCATGTTCCTATGTCAATCTGTTTATTTTATGCCTAAGACACTGAGTTAGTAAGAAACACCATTCTTTGGGATGTTCAGTTTCTTTTGCCTCTTCTTATTCATGTGGAAATTACTTGGCTTTTCTCCCCTCTTCAGCCAAGCTAATAAGAGGAAAATAACAAAGCCCTATTAGCTCTCCCCCTTTTTTTTTTTTTTTTTTAATGTTGACTTTTTGGAGCACTTGAAAATGTCTGTACTTTGCCATTTGTTATGAAACAGCCATAGTAACAGGAAACCATTTCTAATCTCCATTCCCACTCCTGGCTGTACCCAAAAGAAGGTCTTCAATAAATGCAGAAATTAAGCACCCAACTTTTGTATTTCTTTCCAGGTTTTGGTTCAGAACAGCAGAAGGGATGCACTTCCTCAGATTTCTGGTTTCTCTTTAAGTCATCAAAACAGAAATGCAAGGAACTGGAAGACGCTAGGAAATCAGCTTCAGGTAAAAAAGAAAGGCACCAATTTGCGTTACAAGCTTAACCTTAATCACTCTTATAGTTAAGTAATTTTTGGTTTCCAAGGGCTTTTTAAGTAGATTTACTTAAAAAAATCTATGTATTATTTTTATGTCTTGCTTCACTTTTTATTGTATTATTATTATTTGAGAAAGGTTCTCAATATGCTTCCCAGGCTGGTATTGAATCCCTGGGCTCTGGTGATTCTTCTTTTTTTTTTTAAATTTTTAATTTTTTATTTTATGTGTAAGAGTATGAATGCCTGTGCCTTCAGAGGACAGAAGAGGGCATTGTCAAATCCCCTGGATCTGGAGTTACAGACAACTGTTAGCTGACATGTGGGTGCTGGGGTTTGAACCCAGACCTTCTGTAAGAACAGTCAGTGCTCTTAACTGCTGAGCCATCTCTCCAGACCCTCAAGTGATTCTTCAGTTATCAGAAACTTTGGGAAGCTTGGCATTGGATGCCATATGTTACCAGGGAAATTGGAATTCCTTCTTTGTGTTGTTAGTCTTGTCAATAGAGGAATTTAAAAGTATGACCAGGTGTGGTGGTGCATGCCTTTAATCCCAGCACTTGGGAGGCAAAGGTAAGCAGATTTCTTTGAGACTGAGGCCAACCTGGGTTACGTAGCGAGTTCCAGGCCAGCTGGTGCTACAGGGGCACCCTATATCAAAACACTAAAAAAAATTAAAAAATGAACTCAGTAGGAAGCTTTGAGGATAATATTATCAGAGTTTGATAGAAAGCAACAGGGTAGACAGGCTGCAAATTTAGCAAAGCCTGGAGGAGGGAGATGAAGAGGAAGAAAAGAGAGAAAGTCATGCTTTTAAGTTAGGCCAGCATGCTCATCAGTGAAGTCAGCAAGAAGCAGCATGGTATCAGACAGCTACTGGAGGAAAGTTAGTGTGTGTGTGTGTGTGTGTGTGTGTGTGTGTGTGTGCGCGCGCGCGCGGGTCCACCTTCAGAGAAAGTGAGAAAGCCCAAAGTGATAAAGAAAACAGGCTTAGACTTTGGCTATTATCTGAAAGAAACAGAAAGGTAAAAAAAGGAAAAGTTAGACTTTTCAGAGTTAGGACTCAGAAAGCAGACTTAACAGAGCTGCCTGGCAGCGACACCATAAACGACTGCATTGGGGGCAAAGTTTCTGGAAAGCAAAAGTACATTATCTCATTAAGGGGATGATTATTCCTCCTATTTAAGCATGGCTTAAGGTGAATCAGCCTTCTTGAAGCGTGGTCTTTTGGCCAGATGATTGACAGGCCCAGTTGGATTACCTCTTAAGGGAGGAGACAACAGTAGCTAATGTTCTAATCTTTCAAGCGGATCAGAATGTCATGTCTTCACTCAAGGCCAGAGGTGGATTCCATTCTTTTGACCAGGAGGAAACAGACTTCCTTTAATAGCCCTCAACAGAGCCCTGATCTTCTCAGTGGCCTTCATTCTCCCCTTAAGAGTGGAGACCCTAAAATCATTTAGGTGATGGACTGGGACTGGGGAATAGATAAAACCCAGAACAGAAGGGATTAGTGTATGGACTTGAGTTTCAGTTACATACTCAAGTATAGCTCGCAGGCAGAAGTTAGAAGAGAAATCTGGTATGGAAAGCTCTCTTCTGGCATTCCTGTCCTTCAGCAAGGACACTCCTGCCCTAAGCTGCCTAACCAGTTTCTAAATCTTGTCCTCATCACTTCTGCTTCCCAAGCAGCTGGACTAAGATGTGTGCCACTGCACCTGGCTTACTTCATTCATCAACTGTTTATGGAGTCTGTAATATGTGCCAGGAATTGTTCTAGACACCAGGGATATGTCACTGACTATGCCAGAGAAAGCATTCATCATGAGGAAGTTGACATGACGAAGGAGAACAATTTTTGAATAGAGTGGAAAAGTAGGTGTCTGGATATAGAGGAGGAAATGGAAGCTTTGGGAAAAAGTTTTTTAAAAATTTTATTTATTGTTTTTATTTTATGCGTATGAGTGTATGGCCCGCATGTATGTAAGTGCACCCATGTCATGCAATGCTGGCGGAGGAGGTCAGAAGAGAGTGTCAGATCTTCTGTGTCGGAGAGTTACAGGCAGTTGTTCGCTGTCATGTGGGAACTGATCCCAGGTCCTTTGCAAGAGCAGCCAGTGCTCTTAACCACTGAACCATCTCTCCAGCCCTGCTTTGGGAAGATGTTGCTGTCAAGTGTCAACTGTGCTGTCAGTTGGAAGCTGTTCATTGATTTCATTTTGCAGTTAACAAGCACAAAGCACTTACCTACCAGCACAATTTCAACTGGTTCATAAAAATTTACCAACACACTTGTCCTACCTATGAGTTAGCTACAACTTATTCCCATTTTACAGACAGGGACACTGAGACAGAAAAAGATTGTCCAAGATCACAGCTAGTAAGAATCAGACATGAGATGGAAATGCGTGAAATCTGGCTGCAGAGCCTTGGCTCTTTGCTGCTACACTTGCTGTGCCTTGTAAGGGAAAAGAGTTAGCTGGAACAGAGGGTGTATGGAGCCCTGGAGGAGGTCACAGGCTCAGAAATCTGCGGGCACCACAGCTAGTGGTGGCTCATTAGCTCAGGGCCTGGACTTTGTGATATAGTGCACTAAAAGGCTACTGTTTGCATATCAAAAATGTAACTGACAATGAAAACGAGAAAGCACTCAGGTAATTTATTAAAAATATCAAGCTTTCATAATTTCTCATTATGAAAGTATAATGTGTTCATTTTATGAAATTGCAAAATTTGGACAGTTACAAGAAAGGAAATGGAAATCACTCAAAATGTGATCTGTAAGATTAAAAATTTCTAGTCATGACCTTTGTAGGAACTGATTGTAAATGGAGATAAAAATATGTCTGAAATTATGAGACACATAAATGGAAAATATGAATTCAATTAGCATTCAAATTTTTTAGAGCATTATTCATGTATTAGGTAATGTGTTAATGTATTCCTGTTAATTAACAGCTTTTTAAAATTGTTACTACACTAGACCCAAGATTGTTTTCCTCCAATGTTTTATTATAAAAATTTCAAACAGAAAAATTTAAAGAATATAATAGTTGATAACCATATACTCATTACTTATACATAAGTATTTTTTGACATTTTGCTATATATATCTGTATCTATATGATACTTATAATATTGACAGGTTATTTAGCAGCATAAATATCACATATTTAAAATGTTTATGTTATTTATGGAGTTATTTGAAAGTTTTACCTTCCTGATACTTCGTCTATTAATAATGTATAGTCCTTCTAGGAAGGATAGTCTTGCGCAAAGTATGCACATGATGCTCTTACTGAAACGAGATATTAAAAGCTATCAGTGATTTTCTAACATCATCTGTGTCAGACAAAAGATTCCTTTTTCTTTTCCTTACTATGTTTTTCCCTCCCTCCCTTCTTTCTTTTTCTTTCTTTCTTTCTTTCTTTCTTTCTTTCTTTCTTTCTTTCTTTCTTTCTTTCTTTCCTTTTTCTTTCTCTCTTGTTCTCATGGGCCTGAGGTTAGCCTTAAACTTAAACTTCTTAGTTGGTAAAGAACTTCTGATCATTGGCCTTTCACCTCCCAAGTGAGTGCTGATATTATAGGCATTGTGTCACCACATCTACCTTTATGCAGTGCTGGGGATGAGCCCAGGGCTTTATGCATGCTAGGCAAATGCTTTATCAATTAAGCTACATTCCCAGACACTTACTTTTCAATCTTATTTATTTTTTATATTTTATTTATCATTTTTGTTTAACGTGTATGCGAATATTGCTTGCATGTAGGTAAGTGCACCTGTGTCATGAGATGCCCGTGGAGGACAGAAGAGACTGTTGGATCCCCTTGAACTGGAGTTACGGACAGTTGTTAGCTGCTGTATGGGTGCTGGGATTCGAACCCAGGTCTTCTGCAAGAACAATCAATGTTCTTAACCATAATCAGTGTTCTAAATCACTGAGCCTTCTCTCCAGCCCCAATCTTATTTTTATGTTCATTAAGAGTCAGTACAAACAAGAGGAAAATGTAGAGGTTTGTCATATGTTTCCTGCTCCCCAAACTCCCATACTAGCCACAGCTCCTGGTACAGTGGAACAGTGCTAAAATTGATGAATGTACATTGGTGTGTTTTTATCATATAATCCTAATTTACATTAGCGTTTGCTCCTGATGATGCACATTTTATGGGTTGCCTCAAGCATGTCAGGATAGAAAACAACTACTGCAGTGTGTGTAGAATGCTCTTAATACACTAAAAATCCAAATCTAGTCAGGTATGGTGGTGCATGCCTTTGATCCCAGCACTTGGGAGGCAGAAGCAGGCAAATCTGTGAGAGTTTGAGGCCACCTGGTAAACATGCAGGTCAGCCAAGGCTACAGAGAAAGTTTTAGGCCAGCTGCAACTACAAGGAGACACTGTTTCAAAAAACTGCCCAAAACCAAAACCAAAAACAACCAACCAACCAACCAAACAAACAAAATCCAGAAACAAATAAGCAAACAAACAAAAACAAAAACAAAACACCCCAAAAATACACTAAAAAGGCTTTGTGCTCTGCCCGCTCATTTTCTTCTGTCCTTATGGGTTTTACTTTTCTTAGAATGCATGTGGCTGGATGGAATTTTAAAATCCTTGACAGACTTTGCATTTTTACCATGTCGTTTTCATTTTATTTGTGCACACTGACTTATTTCTTTTGTTTCTTCCTGTGTAGGAACTGAAGGCAATATAATTCGAGGAGTCCCATTTGTCAGAGGGGGTGGTTCAGGCTTTGTATCTAGCCTTAGTTTCTTAGAGCTAGACAATCCTGCTGGAAACCAGCACCGGTATTCAGCCTGGGCTAAATCTGTAACTAATCTTCCTCAAGTCATAAAACAAAAGGTAAGTGATGTGCTGTTTAAAGCAGTGGGAAGCAGTCATGTTTATTTGTGTTGGGAAAATGAGATTACATCACTATTAAACAGAATTGGTTGCAATTAGCATTTTCTGTATCACAGTTATACTTTATATAGTAAGTTGACTGCATACATAATAATAAGGAAACTGGCATGCTGTCATCCTGTATGACAAACTGTATCCTGTCAAACTGTATATCCCTAGATAGCAGGAAAGGTTAAAGGTCTTGTAAACCCCAAGAGAAATGAAGGACGGAATTTGCATTTTAACTTTTGGTCTAAATTTATGTTCTATTTTTTTAAAAAATTGCTTTATTTATTATAAATGTGTGTGCGTGTGCATGCGCGCATGTGTGTAAAATGTGTGGACGAACACATGCTGTGGTGCACTTGTGGAGGCTAATATGCAATTTTGTGGAGTTGGTTCTCTCCTTTCACCATCACGTGAGATCTGGAGATTGAACTTGGGTCTCAGGCTTACAAGGCAAGTGCCTTTGCCCGCTGAGCCATCTCACTCGCTTCTTGATTACATTTTCTTTGATTCCTAATTCAGAAAGGTTACAGATTTCCCAAGAGGAACATGCTTGCTCTCAGATCACTCTTCTTCCTGTGCCATAGTTCACAGGCTCCTGAAGTCATGAAATTACAACAGCACCAAACTGATCAGTAGAACTTAGGGTTTATTTTATAACACAATATGTGTTCAGAAAAAAAAAAAAAAAGAGAAACTATTTTGCTATGCAAAGCTGTGCAATAAAAACCAAAGATTGCAGGTCAAAATGAAATTAAGAACATAACACTCAAAAATATCAGTCATGATGCTGATTTAAAAAAAGATAGGCATTGATAAATAGGGTAGCAAGGTTTTATAAATGTTAAATTACTAAGAAATGCATCCACTGCAGTAAATGTGGCTCATTGTTTAGAAAAACCTGAAGCTTGCTGGAGCTGGAAGGGTTGTAGCTTCTTCCTTTACCTGAAGAGAACAATCATAAATCTGATGGACAGTTCACCAGCTGGATGAGTGGAGCTTATGATCCATTCAATGAACTGACAGATGCTTGAGGAATATGTGGATGTACATTGTATGTATTGCTTTGTGGGTTGGTTCAGTTGTATGCAGTTTCTTGCGCTCATCCTGTGCATCTCGTGGATAAAACTGAACAAAAGAAAATGAAAAATTCACAATATGTCCCATTGTTCTCCAACGTGGCAGTCTCAATAGAACAAATCCTCATTTTCTTTCTTTTCTTCTTTTATTGTTTGGTCTTTTTGAGACAGGGTCTCCCTGTAACCCCAGTTGGCCTGACTCTGCTGACCAGGCTGGCTTCAGTCTCACAGAGATCCACCTGCCTCTGCCTCTGGAGTGCTGGGACCAAAGGCATATGCCATCATACCTGGCATAAAGCCATATTTTCTAAACAAACATTATAGTAGGACTGATTGTATGGACTATTCTCTACTATGAGAGTCAGTGCCCCAGGTAATGTCTAATTTTAAACAGTTAAGAGACATGTACACATTTTATATACCAAAGAAAAGACTAAAGTAGCATTTCAAGTACTCTTCTAACACCACATTGCATTCATTTATCTCCAACTAACTTGTAGAAGGTGAGTTTTTCCTGGAAAGGTACCAAAGAGTTACTGTCCATGTCCCATCTGTTCTTTAGAAACAAAATTGCAGTTTAACAGATATTCATTCACAAACTCAGCTATGTACTTTTACACAGGTGACTAAAAATTGTCATAAATGTGCCAGTTTATCACTTAGGCAGGAAAGGAGTAAGGAAAGAACCGACCCCATCCAGGTCTATGGCTTCCAAGAGCAGGTGTGCACACCTCTTTTTAGTCCAATTCTTGATGACATCATAGTGGTGATCTGAACTCAGCCATCATGAGAGTGTGCTGGAGAATTTATCATAAATTACCAAGCAGAGGCTTTTTGCTCCTGGGAGACTAGCCACTGCTAAAGTTTAGCCAGCACATCTGTGACTTCAGAGTTGCTTTTTTTCTGAAATACCTAACACAAAGTAACAATGTTTACTTGTTTTAAATTTCTGCAGGAGAGGGCCCACAGTCTCCACAAAAGAGACATATTAAATCTGCAACAGGAAATTGAATTCTAAGTGTAATTGTACCTGCTTCTTTGCTGTAATTTAAGCACATTTCCTTCTCTTCTGTCCCCTAAGGAGGTGATAATGTACTGTCTTCAAAACAATCTTCCATTAACTAGAATGAATGTTCTGTGTTTTGTGTTTGTTTTCTAATTTTATGCATACACACAAGATATAAAAAACTGTTTTCCCCCTATCTGATTCTATTTTTTCCTATGTCTTGATTTTAATGTAAGGAGAGAGAATTTCTTTTTTAAAAAATTTAGACATGAAACAATTGTATAATAGCCCCCACTTAACAGTTTCACTTTGCCTCTACTTAGCAGTTTCACTTTCCTAAGTTTCAAGTAAATCATGGTCTGAAGATGTTAAATGGAAAAATCCAGAAATATGAAGTTCATGATTTTAGATATGCTTTTAGTTTTTTATTTTGCTTTATTTTGTTATTATTTATTGTTGTTAGTCTCATACTGTGTTAGTTACTTTTCTGTTGCTGTGATAGAAACACTGACCAAAGCAATTTATGGAAGGAAGAGTTTATTTGAGCTTACAGTTCCAGAGGGGCAAGAGTCTATCATGATGGGGAGGCATAGTGGCAGAGGTGGCTGGAGGAGTAGTGGAAACTAGGCTCTACATCTTCAAGCAGGCACAGGAAGTAAGAGAGCAACTCAAGATCCAGAAAGACTTAAGAACTCTCTAAGCCTGAGCCCAATGATGTGCTTCCTCCAGGATAGCCATACCTTCTAAGACCTCCAAAAACAGTGCTACCAACTGGGGGCAAAAATGTCCAAATACTTGGAGCCTATGGGGGGACTTTCTCATTCAAATCTCCACATTCCACCCCCTGGCTCACAGAGGCTCATGACCACAAAAAATGCTAAATACATTTAGTCCAACTTTAAAAGTCCCCATAGTCTTTACCAGTCTCGATACTACTCAAAAGTCCACAGTCCAAAGTCTCTTCTGAAAGTCAGGGAAATCACTTAACTGTAAGCCCCTGTAAAATCGAAAGACAAATTACATACTCCCAACACTCAGTGGAACCAGATACACATTCCCATTCCAAAAAGGAACCAAATAATACACATTCCCATTCCAAAAAGGAGGAATAGAGGCATAGTGAGGAAATTCCAGACCAAAACAAGACCAAAAACCAGCAGGAGAAACACCAAGTTCAGTACTCCACATTCAACTTCTGGGACTTTACTTCCAAATGGCTTAGATGGCTCCACCTCTCTAACTTTGCTGCATGAAACATACATCTCTCTCTTGGGCTGGTACCAGTCCCTGTATGTAGGTCTTGGCAGATACCTCATAGCTCTGACATCATAAATGTCTTCTTGATGTCTCCATTGCCAACCAAGCTTCACTTTCACAGCTTCACAAAATGGCTTATTAGGGCCTTCTTTATGCAGACGAACCCCTGCTGCATGCTGCCTGGCCTCAGCAGCTCTCTGAAACTGCAGAGGAAGAACTGATGACCCTTCACTCTTGCATCTTTCATGCCTTCTAAAGCAGCACCAGGTGAACTGGTCAAGTTTGACTGCAAGTTTGGGATGGACCCCAGCCTTCTTTATCCATCTTAGAAGCTTTTCTCTTCAGTGGCCCCTGCAGCATTTTCCCTTCACAAGTTGGAGTCTTAGCTGGGTGTGGTCTTGCCCTGGAGGTGTTGTCTTCATTGTTTAAGTGTAAATCTCTAGGCCTTTCCTTAATCACTTTAATTTTCTTATCAAAGGATTCTCCTGAGCACATGCCAGAGCTCCAACATTTATCTTCCTAGTTCTTTTTTTCAATGCAAATTATCCATTCTCCATTTGCTCTTTTTCAGTAGATCTGCATAATATTCACAATTAATAGCCATGCCACCATTTCTATGTTAGGCTGTCTTGAAATTTCTTCTACCAGAGAGATTAGTCCATTGCTTTTCAACTTAGTCTCAGGCAAGCTTTTTGGCTGTGGGCAGACTCCAGCCAGACTCTTTGCCAAAATATCCCAAGTGCTGCTTAAGTCCTTATTTCCCTTGGGAATTACATTGTTCTTAGCACTTACTTCCAGGAGCCTACTAGAATGGCCTGGTAAGCTCTGTTTACAGCATTCAATTACTTTTCTAGTCCAAACTTCCAAAGTCTTCCACATTCTTCTAAAACCCAACCTGGTCAGGTTCTTCACAGCCAACACCACACTCCTGGTACTAGTTACTGTATTAGTTATTTTTTTGTTGCTGTGATAGAAACAAAAGAAATTTATAGAAGGAAGAGTTTATTTGAGCTTATGGTTCCAAAGGGGCAAGAGTCCATCATGGTAGGGAGGCATGGTGGCAGAGGTGGCTGGAGGAGGTGTGGAAGCTAGGGTCTACATTTTCAAGCAGGCACAGGAAGCAAGAGAGTAAATCGAGATCCAGCAAGGCTTAAGAACTCTCTAAGCCCTGCCCCCAGTGATGTGCTTCTTCTAGCACAGCCACACTTTTTAAGACCTCCCAAAACAGTACCACCGACTGTGGACAAAATGTCCAAATACTTAGAGCATATGGGGGATAGTCTCATTCAAACCACTACACATAGTGTACCTGATTTATAAATTAAACTTTATCACAATCAGATATGAATAGGAAGAAATGGTACTATTCTCACTTTGGGGACTATAGTAGGATTCTGAGGCATAGTCCCACACACTGTAGGGGCTAATGCAATGAGAACAGGAGTGTCTTTTGAGTTTGTTTCTTTGGGATTGTGCCTACATATGAAAGAAGCAGGTTCTTGCCCAGAACTCTGAGCACTGACCATGATGTCTTTACTTGTATAGCTGATGCCGTTATATGAACTGGTCAAGGAAGTGCCTTGTGCCTCTGTGAAAAGACTGTACCTGAAACGGGCCCTTGAGGAGTATCTGGATGAATTCGACCCCTGCCATTGCCAGCCTTGCCAAAACGGTGGCCTAACTACTGTTGGGGGGACACAGTGCCAGTGCCACTGCAAACCGTACACATTTGGTGTGGCATGTGAGCAAGGAGTCCTAGTGGGGAATCAAGCAGGTCAGTGTAACAAGTTTTTACTCACCATGAGGGAAATGTTGAGAAGGGAGTTGTCTTTTCACTCTGTACCCTGACAGGTGCTGCTTTGTGTAATGAAGACATGGAGCTGCATTTGAACTCAGATTTTCTCTCCATGTTCCATCTCCAGATTATAGTTTTTAAAGCTAAGGGCTTTTCTGTTTCTCTTCTTTTTCACCTGAATTAAAAATCCCACTGTGATTTTGAGTCCCAATTCTCTATTAGAATAGAATTATGTTTAAAATGTCTCCCATCTTTTCATAATTATCTCAATAAGGTTTTGTTTCAACACTGGTCTGTGGATCTTTATCTGAAGCTTTTTGACACATCTCTATTATTTTGTATTGTGTACCATCAGTCAATATTTGCAAATATTTTCTGTTTGATTCTTTCTTTATATCCTCAGACACTGATATATTCATAAATGTTACCAATACATTTGATATTAGATACATACATGACTAAACAATGGTTGTGAGTAGATGCATATCTTTATCCCCAAATATCTCCCCAAGTAGCCTGGCCTTGTTCATTGAAATTCCACCACCATGATTTAGTCTTTTGTGTCTTAGATTGTTAAAATGGAAGAACCTTGCTGGTAAGGGTTGAACTAGCAATCACTGTACATTAAGCTGTTATTGCCTATCAACAGTGTAGTCAGGGGACTAGGTTCTTAACTGCATTCTAATTGTGACAGTATAGGGAAGGTGATGGGAAAATATTATGCAAATTTGTTTGGTTTTAGTAAACAAATTTAGCAAATTTGTTTTTGTTTCAATATCACATTGATACTGAAGTGTGTGTGTGTGTGTGTGTGTGTGTGTGTGTGTGTGTGTGTGTGCGCTGAGATGGGAGGAATGTGGTGACACAGAAGTAGTTCAGGAGCAGCAAATCCACCTACGTACTGACAAGATACAATCTTTATTTATGAGCACAGTTTAACTAGGAAAGGAAAGCTCTCCCTTTGAGAGATATGATGGGGGGAAACACTAGAAGTAGGATTGACTCAGGGTCTGAAGTTAAAGATGTGTTAAGGAAGTATTTTCAGATTGGAGAAGGATGCTGACAGGAGGTAAAGCTAGTGATTTAAGTGTTTCCTCAACTTATGCATTTGCTCACTTTGTATGGCATCAGATCTGGGGTTAGAAAATGAAAGATCCAGGAGGTCCTGTTCTCTTCAAGATAAGTCAGTGCCTTAGCTTTAGGAACTTACTTGCCTTGTTGAGAGACTGTGGTGGGGATGGAGTCTGGGCTCAGAAGACTAAGCCATTACATAAACATGACTCTTGGAAGTCATTAAATGACTGAATATTTGACCACTTTGTCTTAGATTTCATGTCTATGAAGTGGGAATGGTTAAAATCTCTCTCTTCTCACTTTGGTCATATGATAAGTGTGAAAATGCTTTGATTCTGTTATAAAATAATTAGCACACATGATATTATTGTAAGAATTTCTCTGAAGTAGCCTTGATATCAATATTCCTAATCAGTGATTAGAGCCCATCTGGCTATTGTGAAAACCCTCAGCAAACACTATGAGATTCTTGGAGAATAGCAAAGTCACAAAAAGTTTGAATAATTTGTTCAGTGCTATGAACCAGTAAATATCAGGGCTCCTACATCATGCCTTTTTTTTTTTTTTCTCACAAGGCCATTATCTATTCCCCAGAAAGCACATTAGCAAGAGGTATAGCAGTAAGCTTTGAAGTCTTCCTCTCCAGAATTTAGTGAAAAGCCTTTCTTTTATTACAGGAGGAGTTGATGGAAGTTGGAGCTGCTGGTCCTCTTGGGGACCCTGTGTTCAAGGGAAGAAAACAAGGAGCAGAGAATGCAATAATCCCCCTCCTAGTGGGGGTGGAAAGACTTGTATTGGAGAAACAACAGAAAGCAGGCAATGTGAAGACCAGGATCTGGAGAATTTACGGTAATGGAGACCAGACCTCTATAACAGTTAAATGAGATTAAGCATGCAAAGTGATCAGTACAGTGCCTGGCACACAGAAAGCTTCAGTGAATGAATTATTTTTCAGATCTATCATTGCCTCCTAGTTATTTTCTGGGTTAAGAAGAAAGTCAGCTGCTTTAGATGGATGATATTTTGCCCAACTATCTTAGTGATCATCTGGTACTAATTTTACGTTTGCAAGGACTCTGCAAAAGCTATCTCAAAAATGCTTGTTGGCTCAATTGTACCCCTGTGGCATAATTCTGTGGCAAAATTTTTGCCTTTTTTGAAAAAAAATTAGTTAATTAGCTAGAGACGGGGTCTCATTGTAGTACAGGGTATCCTCAAAATCACTATATAGCTGAGGAAATCTTTGGATTTCTGATTCTCCTGCCTCCACTTCCCAAGTGTTAGGATTACAGGTGTGTGTGCCAGCACGCATAGTTTTTCTGACAGGTTTCTTTATACCAGTATTCTTGTGTTCAGAAACTAGGCATAATGTTTTAATAGATTATTTGAAAGTTGTGTTGAGTTAAAGAAAGAAACGATGTGCTTGAGTATGTGGTAGAAAGACACAAGATTCTATTTTATTTTATTTATTTTTCAGTATATATTTTTATTTGAATTTTTGCAGTTTTCATACAATGTAGTTTGGTGGCATTTAGATTCCTTTCTTTATCTGAACCTTACTCCACTGCCCCCACCAAATTTACTGTATAATCTTATGTATATAAAACACAGCCTATAGAGTTTGATTTGTGTCCCCAAATGTCTTTCAGTGTGGATTCATCCACTGGGCCCACCAAGAGTTCCATCTCTGTAAGACACTGTCTTTCTCCCTCCCAGCAGCCATCAATTGTTAGAAGCTCCTTATGTTGGGCTGGGATTTTTCACTCACTTCCCCATGTCTTTGCTGGGATTTTGTTTGATTTGAGCTTGTATAGGACTTGTGCATACTGTTACCATTGCTGTGAGTTCATACGAGTAACTGACCAGCTGCTGGAAGACTTTGTTTCCATGTGGTCATCTACCCCTTCTGGCTCTTGTAATCTTTCTGCCTCCTCTTCTGCAATGATCCCTGAGCCTTGGGAGGCAGAAGTTTCAAAATAGGTGTCCTAGTCATGGATAAGCAGTCTATGGCCTCTTGTTCTCTGCACATTGGCCAATTGTGTGTTTCTGTGTTAATACCATCTGCTGCATAAAGAAACTTCTCTGGTGGGAGTTTAGAGATGCATTGAGACATAGGATTCTTTGATCCCAGGTCACCCATGTATTGCAAACCAACAATAACAAATAGCTCTTTTTTTTGAGACAGGTTCTTTCTGTAGCCCCAGCCGGCCTGGAACTATGTAGACCAGACTGGCCTTAAACTCACAGAGATCCATCCGCCTCTGCCTCCCGAGTGCTGGGATTCAAGTTGTGTGCCACTACTCCTGGCATAACCAGCCTCTCTGTCTCTGTCTCTGTCTGACTCTCATTTCTCTTTTTTTGACAGGGTCTCCCTGTAGACCCAGCTCACCTGGAACTTCCTTTGTAGACTAGGCTGGCCTTGAACTCATGGAGATTTGCCTGCCTCTGCCTCCCAAGTGCTGGGATTAAAAGCATGCGCCACCATGTCTGGCTGTAACTAGTATCTCTTAACTGAGGAAGAGAAAAGGCATTGGGGTTATAGTGGGAGAAGAATACACATGTACCATCAATGGGATGAGATTATGAGATCAGGTCTCTGTCGCAGTGAACCCATTTTCCCTGCCTTTAGACACAGTTAGAAAGAGGGGGGCATCCTAAGGGAAGCATTGCAGGGCTCTTCACTGTTGCTTAAAGGAGGGGAAGTATCCTCCTAATCAGCACAAACAGGAACATTTTGATTACTACTTCACATTTCTGTGTTTCCTCACAGTGTTGTAAAGGATAAGGAGTTCAGTAACACAGGCTCTTTGAGTTGCTGTCCCTCAGATTTCATCCAGTGAAGTGGAGATGATAGTGGTAGTACAAGGACTGTAGAAGCACTGTGGACAATCACTGTCTAGTGATGGATGTCTCCATTATTATAAGCTGCTGTAGAGATGATTATGGTGATGGTAAATATTCAGGAATGGCATTGGTGATGTGACATTAAGGGCCTCTGTCCTCCATCTTGCTTTTTGGTTTGGTATTCTTCCATCAAACAGAATTAATTTTGTGTTAAAGGGATATCAGGGGGCCAGTGAGATGGCTTAGTGGGTAAAGGCACTTGCTGCCAAGACTGACAATCTGAGTTCAAGCCCTGGAACCCACATGGTGGAAGGAGAGAATTGACTTCTGCAAGTTGTCCTCTGACTTCCACATGGGCACTGTGTACACCCCCACCCCAACACCCCCACAAAATAAATAAAAAGGTATTTCAAAACTCAATAGCAGGAGAAAGTGATATCTGAGACAGATTAACTCTAGAAATCATGCAACATAGATGCATTATCTAATGATTTCAATATTACTAGATTGGGTTTATGCTTTTTTTTTTAAAAACATGAGACACGGTCACATATTTGGTTCTGAGAATAACAAAAATATACACCAATGTCCTTGTTCTTTCTACTTACATATCTTCATATGTAATGGAAAAATTCAGTGTAATGCAAAATATCAGCTAAACTGGAAATGAATCACATTAATTTCCTTTTGTTTCTGTTTTTTTTTTTTTCAGATTACTGGAACCACATTGCTTTCCTTTGTCTCTGGTTCCAAAAGAATTCTGCTCACCACCTCCTGCCTTAAAAGATGGATTTGTTCAAGTTGGTTATGAAAAGATATTTTCTCCCTTATAAATATTCCAAGTTCTATTTCTCTACTTGGCCACAATCTGTTTACTTCTTTTATAGTGAAATAGTGCTAAAATATTTCATATGCGAATTTTAACTTCAGTAGTAGTGAAGGATTTAGTTTGTAACTTTTCTCTCTTGGCCTAAGGCATTTCAAATTTTGCAGAAGGCAGTATTCCTTCTGTAGCATGGGAAATCAAACCGTTACCTGTTGAATTTAAGATGTATTCATGCCATTAAGTATGAATGTACAAACAAATTCTTAAAACTAGAGAATTTTCTTTATTATTGAAGTTGAAAAAAGTTCTTATTTCTCCAATAAGAAAATATATTTTATAAGAACTGAGATGATTATGGGTAATCTGTTTATATTAACAAACAAAACTTCATATTTGAATTATGGCTGCTGCACTACATGCATACAGCATTTTAATTCAAACATTGAAAGAGACATTAAAAAATCATGATTCCTGTCCCCTGCCTGTACTTTTCAAAAAAGGCCCTGATACTACATACAGTCAAAGAAACTGCATTTTTGTGATATTAAGCTGCTGGTTTCAGAAATCCAAGTAAAACACAGCAAAATTATTCTATGAATATCAAAATCTTCAGCATAAGAGACACACTAGTATAAGACAAATGGAAGAAAACAAATGATAACAAAACACATAAAACTCCAGGTACTGTAGTAAATTGCTGATTTAGTCAGTGTGACTGCTACTCTGGGTAATACTATTAATTGCAGTTTGTGATTATAGTCTGGAATTGTGGACAGCAGCATTTCCCAAATTGCACATTATAATCAGTAGAAAAAAATTAGAAAAGATCAGTGTATACCATACAGGGTTAATTTTGTAGCGTATGATGTGTGTGCACAAATACGCACATATACATATAAACTTGGACACACAGTTATGCACATACACAAAAATACACACAACAGATCACACATCGTTGAACTGCAATGTAATTCTTCTTCTTACTCTAGGTTCCTGTCAGTAAGGTTTGAAAACCACTCATGTAGAGAAAGTCATAAAGGTCGATTCCTGTCCAATGGCAGAGTTCACATTGTTCTACATGTTGGGAAAAGTATGTGAGATAAAAATAAACATAGAGAAAAGATGTCACTGTACCACAGGTGCCACACATGCTGCATGCTTAATGTTCTTAAGTCTATTCCTTTGAGTTTTATCCTAGAAGGACTTATGTAGTCCATCTTTTTTGCTGTTACTTACAAGCTGTTTTGTTTCTCTAGTTCTTGTATGACATCTTCATATACTTGTGCAAAGAGGTCCTCTTTAGGTTTTGTTCCATCTAGGTAAACAATCTCTGAGATGATGTTGTTCATTTCTTGTCCATGCTTTAAGTACAAGGGTCACATGTGGCCATCAAAGTACCCTGTGGGGTCTGGGGCTCATATACCCTTGTATTCCTCCTCCTCTTACATTGTTCATATGGGATGGTCAGAAAATAACTTCTACTCTGTACAGTTTCAAGTGGCTTATAACTAAAGAGAAGGAAACCCTTGGTGATTAAAATGGGAACCCCTTCAGGACTTCCCAACACTGTTGGTCCCATAGAGAGCCCTGGGTTTTCCACCCAGCAGGAAATGACTGACATCATTTTTTCCATGTTAAATGCTTCAAGCACATCATACTGAAAAATCCATTTTCATCTGTCTCTATCTCAGATGCTAGCTTGAAGAAGTCATCCTGAGCTATGATGCTGCGATTTGGAATGTGTTTGTGCATGTTCTTAGGCAGTATCATCTTCCCATCATTTGTTATGCCTCTAATTCCAATGATAAATGTTTTCATAGTTGGCTTTGGAAAATCATATCTTCTTAATACTTCTGAGTGCGGGGTTCAAGTCTTCCCCAGTGGAACCACAAGACACGTGGGTCAGGAGTACACCTATATCGATACTTGTTGCTGTGTGGCTCAGGGGTTGGCTAGCCCTTTGGGTGTCTCTGGATTACCCATGGGGGCAGGGGGAAAGTAGGCGCAAAGTCAATGACACAGACTCTGGGAGACTCACTGTGCAGTAAGCAAGCAAGCTTGTTTATTGCATACAAAGGGCTTTTCTTTATACCCCCTGGAACCTCCCCTATTGGCCCTGAAGGCTGAGCTGTTTATTGTCCATTGGTGTAACTGCTACGTCATTTGTCTCTAGCCAGGGTGGTTGATATTAGGTTAGCACTTTGAGGAAGTTGGCTGCAGAAGAATGGCACACCTGTGCAAAGGTCTCCAGGTCCGGTGCCTGGCAGATACCCACTGACCCCCTCCTACAGATACTGTTCACCTAGGCTTTTTCTTTTTTTAAAAATAAATTTTATCTTGGGATGAAGTGTTTTGTTTGTCCCCAGAGTTGGTTAGCCACTGTTTGATGAGATGTAGGCATTGTGATGAGATGCAGGATGAGATGTAGGCATTGTGATGAGATGTAGGGCACTGTGATGAGATATAAACACTGATGAGATGTAAGCACTGTGATGAGATGTAGGGTGCTGTGATGAGATGTAAGCACTGTGATGAGATGCAGGCATTGTGATGAGATATAGGGCATTGTGATGGGATGTAGGTCATTGTGATGAGATATAGGCATTATGATAAGACATAGGGAATTGTGATGGCATGTAGGGCATTGTGATGAGATGTAGATATTATGATGGGATGTAAGGCATTGTGATGAGATGTAGGTATTGTGATGGGATGTATGGCATTGTGATGGGATGTAGGGCATTGTGATGGAATGTAGGGCATTGTGATGAGATGTAGGGCATTGTGATGGGATGTAGGCATTAGGGCATTGTGATGAGATGTAGACATTGTGATGAGATATAGGCATTGTGATGGAATGTAGGGCATTGTGATGAGATGTAAGGCATTGTGATGGGATGTAGGACATTGTGATGACATGTAGGGCATTGTGATTAGATGTAGGGAATTGTGATGGTGTGTAGGGCACTGTGACACTGTGATGAGATGTAAGCATTTTGATGCGATGTAGGCATTGTCATGAATGATATGTAGGTCATTGTGATGAGATGTAGGTATTGTGATGGGATGTAGGACATTGTAATGGCATGTAGGGCATTGTGATGAGATGTAGACATTGTGATGAGATATAGGTATTGTGATGGAATGTAGGGCATTGTGATGAGATGTAGGCATTGTGATGGGATGTAGTTTGGAATTGTGATAGCATGTAGGGCACTGTGATGAGATGTAAGCCTTTTGATGTGATATTGACATTATGATGAGATGTAGGGCATTGTGATGAGATGTAAGTATTGTGATGGGATGTACGGCATTGTGATGAGATGTAGGGCATTTTAATGGGATGTAGACATTGTAATGGGATGTAGGGCACTGTGATGGGATGTAGGCATTTTTGCTGACATGTAGGCATTGTAATGGGATGTAGATATTATGATGGGATGTAGGGCATTGTGATGAGATGTAGGTATTGTGATGGGATGTAGGTATTATGATAGTATGTAGGGCATTGTGATGAGATATAAGGCATTGTTCTTTCAGCAGTTTTCTTGTTCACAAAAGAACACTGGTCATCTGCCAGTTTTCACTGCGGTGGCTTTACTTGACTTTGGGATTGTCTTCGTTAGTTCTCAGTCTTTCCTATATGGAACTTGGGCCTCAAATTTTAGTAACATCTCTTTATGACTCACATAAGAGACATGTATTCACAAGGATGTTCTCCGTGATGTCAGCTTTATTTTCTACATGAGCAATTCTGCTTCTTAAATTCTAGGTCTTTAAGTTTACAATCATTGAACATTTGCTTAAGTTTGCCCAAGTAGGTACTGTTGAGAAAATGGGAAGGCAGAGGAAGGAGGAGAGAGAAAAGGGTTAGAAAGTTCCATGATGTCACCATGATCCATGGAGCTCCCAGTCAAAAATGCTTAAAGACCAGGATAGTACAAACCCAGATACCTTAGCAACCCACAAAACTGTTGTGTCCTTTTAGGACCCAACATTTTCAAATACTGCTCCCTAGACTGGCCACATAGAGTCACTTAGGGAACTTAAAAATAGAGACTGCTGCTTGACACCTGTCCTCCACTTTTACTGATTTAGTAGGTTTGGGGTAGAGCCTGAGAGTCTCTTTTGTAATTACTATAAGTGGTTCTTATACAGAAATAAATTTGGATGGTGCTGAGTTAAATTTCTCCATAGAGAAGTACCTGTTGCAAAGCAGAAGAGCACCTAGGGGCTATAGCGAAAGATTAACATGTAATCTTCCCCATTTTCTTCAATCCATTGATTCTTCTCAGCTTCTATGAAGGAGACTGACAAGGCCATGGATAGTCAATTGTTAATGAGAGGGAAGAATCAGGAAATTGGGTTCTGACTCCTAGGTCAGATCTGGATGAGATACCAGATCCAAACCCTACCCCAGGCCTGAGTGTCTTCAGTATACCCTGGGGTTCCAGAGAACCAGAGAGTAAGGAAAGGAACCAAGAACCTAAATGAGTGTAATCATCCCCTCACAGGCTGAGACTTGAAATTCTTTGCCTCACAGGACAGCTCACATCTCCAAATTATAGGCTAATATCTTAAACCTGATCCACTTGTAGCAATATTTTTGTACTTATACTGTATAATAGAAGATCAGCACTATGTTTCTTTGAAAGTCATCAGTGAGCCAGGTGTGCCACGGCGTATGCCTGTAATCCCAGCACTTGGGAGGTAGAGGTCTGAGGATTCTGAGGTTGAGGACAGCTTGTGTTCTGTAGTGAATTCCGGGTCAGTGAGACCAGTGAGACCCTACCTCAAAAGAAAAAAACAAATAAGGGAACAAGAAAAACAATCATCAGTGAAAAAAACTTTCATGAAGATGCTGAGATGATATAGACATTTCTGTATCTATACTGACATTTATTAGGTAGTATTGTCAATCAATAGAAAAGAACTCCTTCATGTAAAGAGTTGATAAACAAAAATTCTTCCCAAATCTGATGACAAACTATAAAAGTGTAAGGGAAAGAAATTACTTGAACAGTGCGCACTAAGTAATTTTAGTAAAATGCTTAGTGCAGTGCTTGGTATTTTGGGAGAAATCCATACATTATAATATGTTGGCATTAAATGGCTTTATTTCAATTGGTGGTACTTGTGTCGTTGAATGGAACTACACAAGGAAAATGTTTTATAGAAATTCTCTACATTACTTTGAATGGAGGTTGCCTGATGATTAAAGTTAATTATGTTTTCTAGGTCAAATAAAACTAAAGAAACATTATGTTAATGCAAAATGGACAGATTCTACCTTTTCCCACCTTTCACTTTTGTCTAGGATGAAGGTACCATGTTTCCTGTTGGGAAAAACATAATATATACTTGCAATGAAGGATATTCTCTTATTGGAGACCCAGTTGCCAGATGTGGAGAAGATTTACAGTGGCTTCTTGGGAAAATGCATTGTCAGAGTGAGTGGCCTTGGCTGTAGTATGTAACAAGAAGAGAATGATGGGAAAGAAGTGAATCAAGATAATCATTATTCTTTAGAGTTTAATTACTAGTATAATAGTAATAACATGGGACAAATAGTCATCTGCCCCTAATCTTGACCTTTTCCTAAAAGGTGGATATCAGCTTATATTAGGTACTTTTCTCATTCCTGTGACAAAAATATCTGATTAAAAACAACTTAAGCAAGGAAAAGTTTATGTTGGCTCATAGTTTGAGGGTACAGTCTTCATGATGATGAAGTCTGGGTGGCAGGAACTTTAGGTGGTTAGTCACATTGCATCCACATTCAGGATCAGGGAGAGATGAATGCTTGCGCTCAGAACTCTTGTTCTTTTTCAGTTCAAGAAGACCAGTCTATGGAAAAGTGCCATCCACAGTTAGGGTGTATCTTACACCCGAGTCAACTCAATCTAGAAACTTCCTCATACACATGACCAAAAATTTGTCTTGTAGGTGATTTAGATCCTATCAGTCAATATTAACCATCACAGGTTCTTAGCTTTTGGAGTGACTCCAGTAATCCTGGAGTCGATTATCTCTAATAATCCGTCTCTACCTGATAATGCTCCATTCAATGAGGTCAGTTTTACTGCAGTTTTCAAGTCCCCTGGTACAAATTGAAGTAGGTTGTGGGGCTTTTAGACTAAGATAATGAGCACATTCTTTTTCTTTTCTATTTTATTTTATTTTTATTTTGCTGGGGTCAGGGGTGTCTCTCACTCTGTATCCTAGGCTCCTGTCTCACAAGTTCTAGGATTACAAGCATAAATTATCATGGCCAGTTTATTCTTTAAAGTTTACTTACTAGTGTAGTATCACAGCCCATCTACTTCCCTAAATGCTTTGAATAGAAGTCTGTTCAGATATAGGCTTGTAGGGACATGTGGCATTTCACCATCTAAATCTATTCTTTGGCCTATATCTCAGTTTGAATACAAGTTTGTTCAGTAGATGGATAGCCAGGACTGTAGAGATATATTTTTCTTAAGTCAGTTGTTCTTTTTATTCTATATGGGAAAACTGCAGTGCAAACATTCATGTTTTTTCACTGGGAGTATACCCAATAGCAGCTCTTTGAGTCATTGAGTGTACATGCTAGGCATGCATACATTATGATTTTGTCAGCCCTTCAGTCTTCCATGTGCTTGCAATAATGTATGCTCCCAACAGAGTCTGAGAAACTCTATATGATACTTTTTGTTCTTTGTTTTTCTAATATTTTTATTTTATTATTTTTATTTTATATATATGAGTATATTACCTGCATGTATGTAAGTGCATCCCTGTTGTGCAATGCCCACGAAGGTCAAAAGAGGGTGTCAAATTCCTCTGGAACTGGAGTTAAAGATGGTTGTTAGCTGCATGTGGGTGCTGGGAATTGAACCCTGTCCCCTGCAAGAGCAGCCAATTCTCTTAACCGCTGAGTCATCTCTCCAGCTCCTATATTGTTTTTCATTCTAAATATGTCTATTGATTTATTTTTTACTTGTGAATTATCTCTACAATTGTGGTGATCTTTTAAGAATTCTGTTGAAATCTTAATTTTTCTGTTTTTAATATTTTCCAATTTTTGTTGAAGTTTTCTATCTTATTTAGTGTTTTCTTTTCTTTTTTTGAGGCAGAATTTCTCTGTAGCCCAGGGTGACATTGAATTCACCCAACCTGAATTCATGGCTATCCTCCTGCCTCATGCTCCCAAGTACTGATGTGAGACACCACACCTGGCTTCATTTAGATTTCTCACCATATTGCACTTTTTAAAAGGCCTATTTAATTATCTATATTTCTTGTGGATTTATTTCTATTGTATTTTTTTTTTTGGTCAAACTTTGATCATTCTTATGTTTTGCTTTTAATCAAAAAAATTTTATGTGCATGAGTGTTTTGCCTGAAGGCATGTAAGTGTACCTGTGTGTGCATTGCCCACAGAGGCCAGAAGAAGTTGTTGAATCTCTTGGAACTGGAGTTATGGATGGTTATTAGTTGCCTTGTGAGTGCTGGGAACTGAACCCTGGTCTACAAGAGCAGCCAGTGCTCTTAACTGCTGAGCTATCTCTCCAGCCCCCATATTTTCTTTCTTTTAATGTTTTTTTCAAATTTACAGACACTTCAAGAGGGAAAAGCATTACCAAATGCTGAAATTACCACCTGAAGTTTCTCTTCCTTCTGGAATGTTGGACCTTTGAAACTGCATGCCTTTGACAATGTTCTGATTCTCAGAAACATTTTTCTTTGAATTTTGTGTAGGCTTCCTGTTTGTTTGGCAAAACAATTCCATGATAGACTCTGGCAGATCTATCATGCCAAAAATAAACTCAATTACAGACTACTAGCCTTTTGGATGTCTAATATGTGACTTCCTCTTAGCTTTTCTCTATCAGTACTCAACACATTTGGCAACATAGAAGCACTCAATTAGTGATAAAGGTTGTGCTTGAGTAAATGAATGAATGAGTTTTTTTCGATATTGACAGTGCAGAAACAAAACAGTGTTTTATAGAGCACCATCCAAAGTCTGCCCATGAGGGACATTGCAAAGGTTTTGTTTTCGATCATGATTTCTGACCTGTTCTCCTATGTATAGGCCTCATTTTTCTTGCTGCTTATTTTAAGTAGGAGATTCGAGCCAGTGAATGTCATTGGGTAAGAAAAGATTGAGATGGGAAATGAAAGAACACTGAACGCTTTTATAGCTGCAAGGTGAAAGGTAGTGCTTTAAAAATTTTAGATAGTAACATATCTAATTAGAGCTAATGATATTCAAATGAATAAAGCTCTTGGGAAAATTCTGGTGGGGCGTCACGACACTGCAGAGATAAGTGGCAGCTGTGAGAGCTGATTTTAGCAGCAGGCTGGGCTTTGGGACTCTATTTGTAGGCTTGTTCATTTTAGGTTGTCACATTGCTTTGAGGGCAGGGAAAGGAGATGACAGCTGTTTTGTCGCCAGTCATTAGTTGGTCAAACACATGTCAGGCACTGTGGTGTGTGCCTTTAGTAGACTCTTTTTTCCTGCTTGTCCTCTGATGTGAAAAAGTAGAACATGTGTATTAGCATGATTTAAAGCTGTTTTTTAAAAGATGGTTTAGGGAAGCAATGACCCTTGCATGCTGCTTTCTTTTCAGAAATCGTGTGCACGCTGCCTGTACTGACAAAAGGCATGCAGAGTCACCCCCAGAAAGCTTTCTACACAGTTGGTGAGAAGGTGACCCTTTCCTGTGCAGGTGGCCTGACCTTAGAAGGCCCTTCAGCATTTCTCTGCGGCTCCAGCCTCAAGTGGAGTCCTGACATGAAGAACACCCAGTGTGTGCAGAAAGGTGAGTGGTTTCTGTGTCTCTTCAAGGCTACCTGTGCTCAGACAAGTGACAGTTGTTACAGTGACCTTCATGGTGCTGTGTCACTGTGGATCATTCTCTCCATCTGGCCTCTTAGGAGAAAGAGGTCAGTAGGCTCTTTAACAGCTATTCACATGGCACAGTAGACTCAAGGGACAGGAAAGGATGGCACATTGAACTTAAGTCCTCTATGTGAAAGGACAACTTTATACTGTTAGGGGGCCAAGAAAAGGAAGGCTTTTTGAGAGCTGATTTTTTTATTTTCTTCTGATTTACTAAATACAGAGTTAAGATAATTTAAAATTTTGTTTTATTTCTGGACTCTCAAAGAAGTTATTGATATTATCGAAGCTGAAATTTCATGAAGTATTTATATTTAACACTACAAAGTAGACATTATTCAAAGACAAGTATTGTGGTTTATGAAGTTGCTCTTGGCAGTGGAATTCTAACAATCTAGTATTTTAAACACTAAGCAAATGACAATGTTATTTTAAGAGCCAAGATAGAAGATAATTTAGAAAACCAAACTATATATTTTAAGATATATTTAAAAATTGGCTAAATTAAAAAATTCCCATTTTTTTTCTTTGTTTATATGTATATTTTTGATATACATAGAAATTTACAATTTATTAAAGACAAGAAAGTTGCATACTGATGAGATGAATGTGCTTGTTTATTTTTTAAATAAGGAATTAAATCTGGTTGAATATTTGATACTGCAATACATAGAGCATCTTTAATGTTTTTTATAGTTGATTAATATTTTGATTTTATAATTGTTAATACTGAAAATGCGACTTTACAAAAATATAGAATATAAAATGGCAGATGAAAGTATGTTTAAGGCCATTTCAGAAATTGCTGGAGATTTTCTCTCAATCCCAAGCCAAATATTCTTTTTTAAAATATATTTTATTGAGTTTTTGTGAATTTAATACCTCATAATCATATTTAGCTCTCCCTTCTGTATCTGCACCCCCATAGCTTGCCCACAGGACTTCCATGCATTTTGTCACATATGTTAATAGTTAACGAGTCAAGTTTGTGTATTCAGATGTCCCTTGGTGTGAGTTCATTCACTGGAGCCCGTTCAGCCTATCTAGCATCACTCACTTAAAGATCAACTCTCCCTCACCCAGCAGTGATCAGCTGCCAGTAGTTCCTCACCAAAATTGTGGCCTTCTGCCAATTTCCCCAGTTCTATGTTGGTTTTTGTCTGATTGAGTATTCATGGCTGTCGTCATTGCTGTAAATCCATATGAGCAAGGACTCAGGAGCCTGTAAGACTCTGTTTTCTTATGGCCATGAACCTCTTTCCCCTGGTTCTTAAAATCGTTGCCCCCCTCTTCTGCAGTAGTCCCTGAGCCCTGTGAGGGTGAGGTTTAATATAGGAGTCCTGTCCAGGGACCCATGCTCTGTAGTCTCTTATTCTCTACCAGGTGTGGCCTTCTGTGTACATCACCCTCTGTTGCATGAGGAAGCTTCACTGGTGAGAGCTGAGAGATATATTAGTATTTGCTCTGTTCCCTTTCCACTATGTTCCAGGTGCAGCAGTTCCATCTCATTTTTTAATTATTTTATTTTATTTTTTAATTTTATCAGTTCCATTTTAGATGAGTCACTTAGGCCTGGCCATCTCACAGACACTTATTCTCTGTGTGTGACCAGTTGTGGAACTCTGTAATAGTCTCCATCTGTTGCAAAAGAAGTTTCTTTGATGAGTGGTGACTGGCATTATTTGTCTGTAAACATAAGGACCCATATTTAGCATATAGTAAGAAATTACATTTGTCTAGGGATGTAACAGACTTCTTTTTTTTCTAAGATCTATGACCTCTCCAGCCATGTGTATTTGGCTATGTTTACAGTGCCACACATGAGCTCTCTCCTATTGAGTGGACTTTAAGTCCAATTAGGTATCCGTTGGTTATCCCCAAGATAAAAGTGCTACTACTACACCAATATAGTTTTCGGTGCCCATCATTGTGGTTATTAGGTTTTAAAACTGGGGTTGGACCATTGATTGATTTTTTTTCTCTTAGCATCTTGCACAGTGTCCTCCAAAACTGAGTTAGTAGTCTTCAAGGAAGAGGCTTCCAAGTCAGTTCCAGCTCCATTGTTTCATGTCCAGTATCCTAAGTATGTCCTGTCTTTCACAATGGGGTCCTACCTTCAGGTTCTGGGAGATGATTAAGGACTGTGGCAATAGCCTGTGTTATTTGGGGAGTCTCTTGGATTATCCTGACCAACAACTGGAAGGGAGGTTTCTCCTGTCTGGCATTGTGTCTCTATATCTGTATCTATATCTGTATCTGTATCTGTATCTGTATCATCTGTATCTGTATCTATGTCTATATCATTGATATCTCTATCTATCTATCTATCTATCTATCTATCTATCTATCTATTTATCTATCTATTCATCCTTCAGCTGTACACATGTACTCATGTATAGCTGCTGTATTACTATATGATGTAGGTCTTTTCTTTTTGACAGAGTCTCTCATAGCCCCAGACTACCTAGAACTCACTATGTAGACCAGGCTGGCCTCCATCTCACAGAGATCTGCCTGCCTCTGCCTCCTGAGTGCTGTGATAAAGGGCATGTACCATCACGCCTGGTACACAGATATTGTAGGTATATTTTTCAGTAGACTTTTGAGCTAATACATTTCCCTCTGTTTTTTTTTTTTTACACCAGCTAAGTGTTATTTATCTCTCTTCTTTTCTCTTTCCTTGTATAACTCTCCCTCTTCCCTCCCTAGTTAAAGTACCCCCATTTTCCCCATTTCTCTCTTGATAGTACTTGTCTTCCATGATCCCCCATCTCTTAAACTCCTTCTTCCCCTTTATTGCCATGGTTTCTTGTATAACCTTCCTTTCCCTTCCTAGTTTAATAACTCCATTTTAACTCAATTCACTCTAGGTAACACCTGTCTCCTATTATCTCTCTCTCTCTCAGGCTCCTTTCCCTTTACCTCTGTGGCTTCTTTCCATTTTCCTGGATCCTGCAGTTACATCAGGATATATACTCACACATAAAGATTTGGTGCTAAGATCCACAAATGAGGGAGAACATACATTATTTGTGTTTTATATTTTTAGTAAATGGAAATATTATGTTTTTAACAATTAAATGCAGGGAAGAAGGAAAGCTCACTTGATGCTGTTTTATGCAATATTTCTTGAGTGCACCCACTCAATAGGATGGAATTCATGCCTTGTACTGCAAACCTAGACAAATATCTGTGGCTGGAGAAGTCATAGATCCCAGATGAGACCTTATTACTACCATTTTCTAAACCTAATTTCCAATTGTATTCTAAATACTTATTTCTATACCCCCCAAAAGGGCTGCTCTTGCCTCTCATTGAGTGTAAGATTTTACATCCAATGGTGAAATCTGTCTTTTCTTATGAGGATGAATTACTAGATTTTATATGGTGATACAGTGAGATGGTTACAGTGAAAAAGAGCTCTGTACTGCTGAGTGTAGACATGGGCTGGTGGAAAGAGGAGGGGGCAGAGCAGTTCTAATCAAATATCTTCCATTTCAGCTCTAATATGCTCTTTAGCTGTCAGAACCCCAGATCAGAAGACAATTGTTTTGTTTTCTTTTTTAAACATTTTATTTATTATCATTTATTTTATATGTATGAGTGTATTGCCTGTATGTAGGTAGGTGCAGCTGTGTTGTGCAATGCCTGTGAAGGTCAGTAGAGGGCATTGGGTTCCCTGGAACTGGAGTTAGGGACGGTTGTTAGCTGCCATGTGGGTGGTGGGAACTGAACCTTGGTCCTCTCCAAGAGCAACCAGTGCTCTTAACCACTGAGCCATCTTTCTAGCTCCAATTGCCTTGTTTTCTATATGCCCTGAAGCATAAATATGAGTTTACTTGGTTTGTGTAAAGTAATGCACCTGTACCTGTAATTCTAAAATAAAACAGAACAATATATACTTAATGAGAGTGTACTTTTGTTCTAAGGAGATTAAATAGTTCTCTCTCTGAAATGTTTGCTTCTGTCATTTTATAGCATAATTTAGTATGAATTTTCTCCCACTCAGTAGAAAATGATATTGTGGTTTGTTTTAATTAAGGATTTTTTTTAGACCTATGTGTTTTTCTGAAGATGTGGATAATAATAACTACCCTTAAAATAAACCTATAACAAACAAAATTTTCCTTATTTATTAGCTTCCAAAGTTGGTGTTTTAAAATATCAGTTAAATATGGGGCTTGGGAAGTGGCTCAGTGGGTAAAGTGCTTGCTGTGTAAGCATGAGGACTTGAGTTCATTTCCTCAGTACCTGTATAAAAGGTAGGCATGGTAGTGTATGCCTATAATGCCAGTGTTGACTGGCATACACACAGGTGGATTCGAGAGCCTTGGTGGACAGCCAGTATAGCCAAAAAGTCAAGGTTCAGAGACAAACCCTAGCTCAAAAAATAAGGTGGAGGGGGCTGAAGAGATGGTTCAGCGGTTAAGTGCACTAGCTGCTTTCCCAGGAGATCAGGGATAAGTTCCCAGCACACACATTGGCTAGCAATTTCCCTTAACTTCAGTTCTAGGGGATCTGACACCCTCTTTGAGCTCTGTGAGCATTGCCTGACATGGGTGCACTTACATACATGCAGGCAAAACACTAATACACATAAAAAATAAATAGAAAGTGGAGAATGATAGAGGGAGACACTTGACACGAGCACTTCTGGACTTCAGTGAGCTGGAAGACCACCTGGGCTTTGCAGGGGAGAGGCTACGGCACTCCTTAAGCACCAGAGAATTCTCCAATGTGTTTCTTTGTGGCTTTTGATGGGCTCTTGGCAAAAAGGCCATTGAAAACAGCAAACAATTTGTCAACTTCTTGTTTGTTTTTTGAGACAGGGTCTCACTTTGTTTCCCTGGCTGTCCTGGAACTTGCTATATAGACCAGGATGGCCACAGACTCATAGAGATCATCCTGCCTCTGCCTCCCAAGTGCTGAGATTAAAGGCGTGTACCACCACACTGGGCAGGTGTCAGCTTCTTGAAAGGAAGCCAGCATTGCTATCTTTGGATTCAAACATATGTGGGTTTCAGTCTGACCATGCAGAATTGTTAAATTTTTGAAATAGCATTAATTTCCAAATTTCCTTGGTCCTTAGTTTTTTTTTTTGTTGTTGCTTAAATGGGTACTTGTTAGCAAAATTAAATATCACAATGTATAAACAGTGCATGACCAACTGAACATGCTTAGGAAATGGCATCTGTTATCACCAGTGGAAATATTTATAGTGTTCCTCTGTAAAATTTGTTATAGCTTTATTATGTATATTTTTGACTATAGGAAACCATTGTAGTTCAGAATACTGTAGATTCTGATTCAGAAACTGAAATGATACCCTTTCTACTGTGAAGAAATGCTTATTCCCTTAATGATTGCATCTCTCTTTTGCTTTTCTTTTAGAAACCACTTTAACACCAACAGTGCCTGAGTGTCAGCTCTGGGAGAAACTGCAGAATTCAAAATGTGTTTGTAAAATGCCCTATGAATGTGGGTAAGCTCTGTCTTTTCCACTTGCTTCTCCATTTTATTTTATCCAAGGTAAATGAGATGACTTCTTATAGCCTTTTGAATTGAAGGTATAGCTTACCATAATTTGGCCTACTGCTGCCTGTCACAAGTCATAAGCTATCAGCCATGGTGTTAGTGTTAAACAGGATTCTCATCTGGCTGGGAGAAAGAGTGAAGGACAGGACTGCTTGAATAT